TAAAAATCGGCCGATTTTATTTTTTAGCCGGAAATCATCGGTCGTTTCTTAGGTGCAGGGCCTCTTAAGGTTGAATGGAAACATCTTTTTCGAACTTTTTCCAACTGAATGGCCTCGGCGGGCTACAAAAAAGACCAAGAGAGAAAATAGAACAGGACAGCATAACAAGCCGATAATATTTCACCGCGTGGCTTTCGGCGCGAAAACGAAAATACAGCTTACTTCTGGATAAATTCAGCCTTAGAAGCCAACAACTGGTCCCAAATTACTTTCTGTGTCCTTACAAATGTCCTGAATTCCATCTCCGAAAGATTTTGCCCCAATTTTGAGCAAATAAACATTTCGCCGACGGCGGCCGCCATTACGGTGGCTTGCATACTAAATTAGCTAACTTGACAAAACTCTCCCAAGGGGGGGATATGACGAAAAGAGCTGATAAATGGCCTGTAATTGGCTTTGTTATCCTTTATTTTTACATAAAGCAGGCTCTGCCTCCCGATTATTATGGAAGAGTTTTGCTGTCCGCTTCCACGATCTCGCAACTATCCTCCATTTTCTAACCACCTGCCTTGTCAGAATCACGTGATTATGGTCGAATCATGACGGGCGAATCATGTTTCAAAAACCCGGGTCAATACACTGCACTGAAATTGGCTGTACAGTGTTTCTATTATAAACATTAGATTTTATAAAATAACTGAGCTACTACGCGTGCGCTCATTGGTCGATGGGTGTGTTTAGATGAGAGTATGTAAACACGGTTTTGACGTTTTAGATTCGCGTATACTGTTGAGAATTATTTTATAAAAGCAGTAGAGCACTTTTTCCGTGTTCACTTGGCCTCATCTAAACACTCGGAGGGTTGGGAGAATTCTCGAAAGTTATGCAAACGCTCGACTACGTCTCGGGTTTGCATAACTGTGTCGATTAAACTCCTGAGAAGGTGAGATTTAAGCCTGAAAAAAATTCAGGCCTGAATTTTTTTCAAGCTTTAATTTCACAACAGTTTAAGTTGTGTGCATAACTGCGATGATTAGTCATATATTCATGAAGGTTATTGTTTATATATAACACGTTTGCTGGGTGGGAAATAGTCTCCTCCGCAGCCGTTTTTTGGGGATGTCACGCAACGCTCCCGTGACATCCCAGAAAACGGCTGCGAAGGAGACTAGGTGGGAAACTACATTTCAACTATACAGTCCATCATTGTGTATATCCCCACCCTAGAATTTTATAATCCGCCGGCATTCATTTCAGAATAGCACTGCAAGATCAAATTCCACATCCAAGAACACACCCCAGGGACTCTGATCTAGTCTTTAACTTGAACCTCTCAATCCATTTCCCAATACACTAGGAATCACAGTTGTTTACACCATCGGTTTACGGATCGATGACGACTTGGACAAAGCACTCACTCTCGAGTACTCATGTTAAAGAAAACCTTTCATTGTCAAATTATAAATAAGGGTTAGTAAAAATAGGAAACGCATGCATAGTTTAGAACATACATCCATGAACCCCTTCACATGTGCATGAAACTTATATAACTTTTTTTGTTATCCACTCTGCAGTTGTGGCTACCCAGATCCCAGTTACCTTGACCGAGTAAAGAGCCAGCTGACTGAAAAAGTAATTACACAGCCATTGAAGTGACATCTTTACTACGGGTAGAGTAGTTAGAGGAAAGTAGTATATTATGTATTATGTGCAAGGCAAGAGACGATGATGATCGTGTCTTGGTGCAAGGCTTATAGTACTAATTTCATTGGATAAAAGAATAGGGATGAAAGAATAAAATATTACATGATCGCAGTCCAAACTTTCGTTTAACAAAATGGCTATTTTTGTCGCCATTTATGATTGGACCACGGTATCTCGTTGCCCCTTGCTTGTAGGGACGAGAAGAAGAGTAAACGATCCCGGAAAAAAAAGTTTCTCGGAGGTTAATTGAGCTACTATGCAATGTGACATATTTTAAGTTGTAAATTTTCTCTTGGAATTACACATTGTACGAACAAAGCTCCCTCCGATTAACGGGCCTTTCTTTTATGTGTATTGAAACCATCTCAAAGTTACTGCAACAGGACACTTGAAAGGTCCGGCGCTTGGTGAAGGATATTTTGTCTTTTCCTATCACATCTCTGTTGGGTTTTTATTTCACAAGTTTTAAGTTGTTATGCAATTATTTCGCTTGATTCTTCCCAGGACAGCGTGGAAATCGACCCTTCAATATGAGTAGAAATCTAAGAGTATAATTAATCTGTATCAGTGTATATACTATGAAGATCCGTGAACAGTTTCATTCAGTGGTAGACATTAGTTTCAAGGTTTTTTATTTTTATTTTGCAGTAGGAAATAATTAAGAACTAATTCCTGTAAATAACGCGAATGAGATGGCAGTCGCGAAATTTCGGATTTCTTCATATTTTGCCCAAATAGCCTCTATAGTGAGTTGTTTTCGAAAATACCATTCAAAGGTCCTGAAGCGCTTTAGTTTTATCGAAATCGAGGAAAGTCCGAAAATAGCCATTTTAGCTGCCTGACGCAGCCGAAAATGGCCGAAAATTGTGCATTTTCTTTTCGCTCGTACAGATCAACACGATGATATCTATCAATATAGTTTGGGTAGCTCATAATGCATGTCTTGCTGCTTCTAAAGCATTAATTTGATTAGCAAAAGCTACAAGTGTTAATATATTTTAGGCCGATACAAGTACCTTCATCGAAGATCGTGAGCGAAAAGGCTAATTTTAGCTAATTTCAATACCATCAGTCAAAACTAAAATTTTCTGACAGTCCATACTCTATATTATGTCGTGTGAAAGTTTCTTCCGCGGCCCGAAAAAAGTACCCTGTGGAGGGACATAAATGTGTGGTACATTTTGATAAATTCATCATTCGTTAAACCAACGTGGAGCTTGGTCAGCTACCTTTATGAAGAACAAAACTAAGCGAATGGAAGCCGTTTTCGTCAATGAAGATGCTTGTAATCTGTTTTTTTTTTTTTGTTGCTTGTTTGTTTGTTTGTTTGTTTGTTTGTTTTCCTTTTAGATTGACCACATGATTGACTTTTGCAAACATTTGCAGTTAAATGAAAATAGACGATGCTTTTGGTACATTGTAATGTTATGCAAATTTATTTCGATCACCGGCACGTGCGTATCACCCGAAATTGATTTTCCTTCCGCCTACCGTTTGTTTCTTTTTGAAGGTTACAACTGTAGCACACATTATTCGTTCGATATCGGCAGTTTTAATTTTTGTGGAAGACCCACAGCTGAACCTGACTTCCAGAAAAAAAAAAAACATTTTTAAAAGTGAAACTTGAGTAATCAAACGATTACAGTTACGTCCATCATGTTTGGCGTAAATATTCGAGCAAAACCATTTCATGTAAGCAGGTATACTCTAATATAAAAATAACCGTCTCATCGCAGCATTTCTTGAAATCCTGGTCTGAGACCAGGCAATGATAACAAAGTGTGAGCAGTTGCCGAAACTTCATGATCAACTGTCGAAAAGTTGTGGCATAATACGCCAAGATGATTCAACCTTTGTATTTCTTACCCGTGTGCTTGCATATTCTAATGAGTACAATTGCCCCTGTCTTTTACCACCAGATTTATAGATGAATCGTTCGTTTCCTATCACCTAATATGACACATACCTCTGAATAACAGACATACTGTGACATCATTTTGCTTGGAGTGTTCCAACAGTCGTCCGCAACTTGCAAAACGTAAGCAGCAAGACAGAAAACCACAAAGGTTTCTTCGTCAATCGCACTACGCTGTCCAGATTTCTTTCTTACAAAGTTTCCAGACTTCG